GATTTGGGTGTTAAACAATGAGAACTCAGATGGAGGAATAAACATCACACTAAGTTTCACAGTTCAGATATTCAGCTCATGTAAATTGGCCCAGCTCCACAGCAGTATGCCAATTTACACCATCTGGGGAAATGGGCGTTTATGTTTGTTGAGCCTCTCTGCCATACCTGCAACCAGTATGAATGAAACATTTCAAAATGTCATGCAGCATTGCACCTGCAGCCTAATGCGCCTTCAGGGTTGTTTGAGGTAAGAAAAAAATGCAATTGCTGAGAAAGCAAGGAAGAGAATTTGGATCATTCATCCCAATACAAACTGAAGCTCAGATAGAGAAAATCTTAGCAACATTGAATTCCTCCAAAGTTCTGCCCTGGTGGAAATGAATCACAGCATAACTTTTAAAAGTTACATTCTTGTAATTAATCCCACGGGACAAAGAACTAAGAATGCACAAACGGGTTCGGTACTTTGTGACTCATCTTTGGTTTAAACTCACAGGCAAAGAATATGGATTTAAAACTATGTAATAGGCCAGTTTCCCAGTTGGAGTAAATCAGCCATTGCTCCATTAGAATCAAAGGGTCAGATCCCCAGTTGGTGAAAATAGCCGTAGCTACTACGAAGACAGTGGAACTTTATCAATACACACCAGCTGAGGATCTGGTCCTTAGTTTTTAGTATGTGCTTATGGGTTCCTCTTAATAACCTAATTCAACCAGCCAGGGCAGGCTGAGCTGTGGGTTCCTCTGATGGCTGCATCCCAAGAGCTGTTGATGCAATGCAAGGGAACAACATCTCTGCTCCGGCAGCGGTAATGATGTGGCGTTAATGAAGGAACAGGCTATTCCAGGACAGCTGAGTTTCTGGTGCCGCTGGGCTCTGAGCTATTCCAGGTCACATGATGCTACAGTAAATATATTTTTTTATTCTGCCAACCCCTCAGGGCACCCTTTGTGCCTCAGCCCTGCCATGTTTTTAGCCAAGGGTCCTCCCAGGGACCCTACCACTGTGAGAGATCCAGGGCAGGTGCTGTTCCCCTCTCGGGGATTAGGCTCAGCTAGGGCCCGTTGTCAGGGTGGTTTGCTCCAGAGGTGAGAGCAGAGCTGGGTTCACAGCCCTGGAGACCATATTCAGCCATTTAGCCCCAGAGCAGGGACATCCTGCTCTGTGACCATCTCTGGAGCCTGCACAAACTGGGGTCAGCTCTAGAGATAGGAGGGGCTTTCAGTCCCTCATCCTATTTAGTCCGTCTCCTCTCCGCCAGGAGGAGAGCAGGGAGCATCCATCTGTGGAGTGGATCCCTGTCCACTGGGAACCGCAGAGAGACCCAGCAACTCCAGTGGAGGACATGGAAAGGGCTGTGGGCTAATACAGTGATGGGGCATGAGAGACAGACAGATCAATAATGACAAAATAATCAGAACCCTGAAGGATCAAATGCTTCGCTAGCTGTGAGAAATGCCACAAAAATCTGCATCGTAAGTTTGCTTTTTCAACTGACTATGTTGGTGTATTAATACACAGGGCAGATTTAAGAACACAAATTCGCATGACAGTCGGAACTCTTAAAGACTTTTACTATCAATTTAATCTGGCACCAGCCAGACTTATTTATTTGCATATTTTGCTACAACAAAAATAGACTTTTCATTGAAATTGGGAAAACCCAAACATTTTTTGTCATTCTGGGAAGTGAGAACAAGGCAATTTTAGGTAAGAGCTGTTGAAAACTGAAGAGTTTTAGCCTCTGCTATCCTTGAAAAACAAAATACATATGGAGGATAGCAGAGATTTTCCATGAACATGTGTTCAATTGAAAACCCAATTTTCCTTTGAGATAATTAAAGCTGAAAAAGTCTGATTGTCCTTAATTGGAAACTTAGATTTGTGCTAGGGTGTGCAAAATTAATAGTTTCTATTCATATTAAAATTTCACCCGCAATTCCCTCTGCCCCATCCTCTATTATTTCTGTTACAAAGGGGTAGTTGCAGGCTGGTTAATCTGAGTGAGAAGCGAAGTTAACAGCCAGGTTATATTTTAAACATACTAACGCCTTGAAGCGAAAACACAGAGTCAAAGCTCCCAGCCAAAACCTTTCCATCTTGATCATGCCCTAGGACATCGCCACTGTAGTCTCTGTCCCACACTGCAGCCAGCTAAGCGGCAATGCTGCCAAGGCGTGCTCAGAACATACGCATAGTAAGACACTGGCCATCCACCCCACAGCTCCCAGTCCTAGAAGACAAGCCAGAGAAAGGGGTGTGGGGAATCAGTGGTACAGGGAGGAGAACTGACTGGCCCAAGGTCACACAGCAGGTCAGTGGCAGAAACAAGAACAGAACGCAAGTCTCCTGCCTGTACAGATATAAAGTCGGAAAGGAAAAGGATACAGCACAGTAATGGAGAGATGCTACTAGTCCATCATCACCCAGAGATGGAAATGCAGTGGGATTTGGCACCTCAAATAATAAGAGCATAAGAACAGCTGCACTGGCTCAGACCAATGGTCCATCTAGCCCAGTATCCTGTCCATGACAGTGGCTGGTGCCTGAAGCTTCAGAGGGAATGAACAGAACAGGGCAATTATCAAATGGTCCATCCCCTGTTGCCCATCCCCAGCTTCTGGCAAACAGAGGTTTAGGGACACCCAAAGCATGGGGTTGCATCCTGACCATCTTGGCTCTTAGCCGTTGATTGACCTATCCTTCATGGACTTATCTTATTCTTTTTTTAACCCATTTATAGTTTCAGCCCTCACAAAATCCCCTGGCTATGAGTTCAACAAGTTGATTGTGTGGTATGTGAAGAAATTCTTCCTTTTGTTTGTTTTAAACCTACTGCCTATTTATTTCATTTGTTCTTCTGTTCTGTGAAGAGGTAAATACCACTTCCCTATTCACACTTTCCACAACATATATGATTTTATAGATGTTTATCATATCCCCCCTTAGTCATCTCTTTTCTAAGCTAAACAGTACAGTCGCTTTATATCTACTAATATGGAAGGTGTTCCATGCCTTAATCATTTTTGTTGCTCTTCTCTACACATTTTCCAATTCTAATATATCTTTTTTGAGATGAGGCAACCACTACTACACATAGTATTCAAGGTATGGGCGTACCATGGATTTATATGCTGGCATTATATTTTCAGCTTTATTATCTATCCCTTTTCTAATGGTTGCTAACATCTTGTTCGCTTTTTTCACTGCTACTGAACATCGAGCAGATGTTTTCAGTGAATGAACCACAGTGACTGCAAGATCTTCCTTGAGTAGTAATAGCTAAATTAGACACCATCATTTTGTATGTATAGTTAGGATTATGTTTTCCAATGTGCATTACTATGCATTTATCAATATTGAATTCCATCTGACATTTGATTGCCCATTCACCCAGTTTTGTGAGATCCCTTTGTAGCTCTTCGCAGTGTGCTTTGGACGTAACAATCCTGAGTAATTTTGTATTGTCTGCAAATTTTACCACCTCACTGTTCGCTCCATTTATGAATATGTTGAACAGCACAGGTCTCAGGGAAGATCCTTGGGGAGCGCAGCTATTTACCTCTCTCCATTGTGAAAACTGAATGTTTATTCCTACCCTTTGTTCCCTAACTTTTAGCAAGTTACTAATTCATGAGAGGACCTTCCCTCTTATCCCATGACTGCTAAGTTTGTTGAAGAGCTGTTAGTGTGGGACTTTGTCGAAAGCTTCCTGAAAGTCCAAGTACGCTATATTAACTGGATCACATTAGATTAGCTACCCTGCAGTCATCTGGTCCAGAGGCTGATTTAAGTGTTGGTTTATTTACCACAT